TCCATATATTACTAATGATTCTATACGTGAATTTCACTAAGACATTTGTATTTTAAAAAAATGGAACTATTGGATTCTGCAGAAAAATTTTCTTTCAATTATTACATACTAATCTGTTAGTATGCTCGTGCTCCAAAAATACATATTTAAATTTTGATGTACTTTTCTTGAGTTGATACATATTTATGTAAATTAAAAGCATAATTTCGACAAATATCATTGACAAAAGAACGGTATCAATAAAGCAAAAGTTATATTTTGAAAATTTGAACACACACCAATTATAAGAGTGATAAGTGACAATGAAAATCGATCAAATGATTGCATTGGTGTGTCAATCGATATCATTGACTGGATTCTTATTTACTTGTAATGTGAATTTTTGTTAGATAATTCATTTTATGGAGTATGTCAAGTTCGTTGCCCATCGTTAGCTGCTCATCCAGTTTTTTCCATGTAAAGAAGACTAGAAAAAAAATCTGGTTAAATTTAAATTATAATAGTGTCATTATGATCAATTTTTAATCCCAGAAAATTTGTTATGATCGGATTTTTTCCGATTTTTTTACATTTGTAGCTATGAATCTGTTTTAATCAAACAGATCGAAGATAAATGGTATTCTTCAGATTCAAACACAAACTCCCATAATTTTCCACAATTATTTAGATTACTCGTGTTTACAAACGATAAAGTTGCTAGTGAACCAAGGTCACCCAAATGTAGTAAAGTTACAACTCTTATATAAATTGCTTCAAATTGCGATAGTATAATTACAGTAGAAATTGATTAAAATCGATTACGTTTTTAATTGATATAACAGATTATTTGTCGAAAAATTGGCTTTGATTAATTATTACATGAAAAGATCTATTTTAATCTATTATTTCGTTGAATTTATTCAACTTTTTTGTGATTATTGTTGAATAATGAATTTTAATCTGACTTTTGACCGTTTTGTTTTTATATCGATTTTTGCTTGACAAAAACGGCAGATTAAAATAATGTATGACTTACAAACAATCATAGATGCAATATGGTTACGAGAAAATCTATGAAATTGTCTCAAATATGAATTCAGTTTTCATTGTCGACGACAAGGGGCGGAACGAATTCTAAGAGAAATTTGTATAATATCATAAAAATACGAACTAATTACTAAAAAAAAATATTCATTATATTTTTACATCGGAATTTTTTAATAATAAATTTTAAATAATAACTGAGACAGTTCTCAACAAGTACCTTGAGTTGCTCATCCTAAGTGTACGAGATAAAAATTGATACACGAGTTTGATCTTTACTGTTGAAGAATTTCCATTTATTTATTATACATTTATTAATTCATAATTATGAAAATTAGAATAATATATGGATTTTACTTTGAGAATCAATTACACTCCTCTATAGTTAACAATACGACAATCATTATTTTACTTCTTCATCTTCATAAGCATTAATATCTTGTTCCTGTTGCTGATTGTTGACAGTATCAATATGGTCCGATGACGGTACATCTTGATATCGAATACTATTTAACGAATTTCGATTGATAATTTTGAGATCACGGACAAAAAAGTAAAGTAATACAGCAGTAATGATACTAACTGTAAGACCTATTGAAATTATGCCTAAAAGAAAACCAAATCAAAAAGATATTCGTGAAAACAAAATAAAAAATATATGCTCACTAAGAATATAAGAAATAAACGCATATCGAGCAGCAGTTCTTTCATAGGTAATATTTTCATAATTCTTTAACATATATTCAGATCGTCGTTTAGCCATATAGACCAAAATGCATGCAATCAACCCTATAGAGATGTTTGTGAATTTAAATAATAAGAAAAAACATCATTTTACCGATCAATGGATTGAGAACTAAAGCTACTGTTGCTAATAAGAAATGATATTTTTTCTCATTTTCGATTGGTGTGTGTAATTCAATTAAACGATGTCGAGTCTCATCATCAGCAAATTCATGTTCAACTAATAATTCTTTCGATAAAGTTTTTCCTAACGAATAACGAGTTACCCAAAATAATTTCTTCTTATTAGATATAGATGATTCTTCACTGGACGAAGAATCTTCGATGTTAGCCACGTTAGAATTCAACGTTGACTAAATTAGTTTTAAAATTAAATTACTAAGATAGATTATTGTTAATGTACAAGATTTTTGTACTGATAAATATCCATGGAAACTTTTACTTATATATGATAAATGATTAGAAGAAAAATAAACGAAAGTTTGTTTTTTTTTTTGTTTTTTGCAGCAATAATATCAAAAGAATTTATTATCTAATGTGTGAAATAATGAGAATTCTACAATGATTATCGTCCAAATTACTGATTTGTTTTAAAGACAAATTATGAAACTTCAACGAATTCTTTTTTTAACGTTTCAGTTTGGATAGACATGATCAAGTTACTATATGCACTTTATGCTGCTTTTAATATTTATTAAAGTCTCGTATGTTAATTCACACATATTGTAGGAGTACAACTTTGATAATATTACAATAAAAGATAATTGTTTCATAGCAGCAATGTTAAGAATGTCAACATTTGAAAGTTTAACTAATCAAACATGAGAAACTTCATATTTTTATTTGAGATCGACTTGTGAGAGAAAACATTATTGGATTGTGGGTGTGGATAATATAGAAACTTCGCTCACATTCATACTAACATTCACAATCAAATAAGATATTATCAGCTTAAAACTCTCTCGAGTAGTCATAACAGTATTATTAAACAATATCCCATTGATTATTCTTGTATATTAATAATGGTCAAAAATCAATCACAACACGTAAAATAGAGTTGGATAACATGGTTGAAGCGATTGATTCTGTTACAAATAATAGATTTAATAAATGGATGAGATGTGAAATAACATTGAACTATGTTTACAGCTCTATTTTTATGCTCGAAAAAGCATCATTGAATGTATACGCACTATATGCTGCTTGAAATAAAATTGTAGTTTACCAAAGTATGTGTGACATGTAGAAAGTGACTGACACGAAAATCTACATATTTTCGTAAGTCTTAATTGGACGAAAAACAAAAATACTATAATGATAATGTCACTTGTAATTACTAAGTTAGAATTCATGTATTTACATTTTAATTAGTTCTTAAGTGCTAATACGTTTTTTTGCTTAACGAACAGCATATCAACTGCTATTTTTCAAAACAAGACAAACTCTAACTATAACTGCAGAAGTAATGTCAGCAAACAATATAATATGAAGTATATTTTCAAGCGTAATTGTGTATGAGTTTTTTCTAGACGAATTACATTGTTTTGGAATTTAGCCATGATCGCATCATTCAATAGTTGAACAGATAAATATAAAGCCACAATACCTTAAGTCATTTTAGAAGAACTCTACAAATCTAATTTTGTCCGACATTACAATTAAAACAAATGATTTGACTAAAATGATACATGTTACGTGATATTCTTGTGTTGATCATTATATAGATATGTGTACAATCTCGTATGAACGAAACAGAAGTTTGATGTTGATAATGAATCGTATAAATGTTCAGTTCTTGTTTTTTATTAATATTTTCTACGAAAAATTTTTGTCGTTCATATATTTTTCCATATATATATATATATATATTCTGTATAATAACTCTTAATATGCTTTTGAAATTATTCAAAAATTTTACTCAATAGCATTAAAAGCATGTTGAAAAATCATTATAAAGACGAATTCTCTGTTTCATCTATGTATTATACGAGTGAACTTCGTGTTTCAATGTATTTTTAATCAAATCGATAAAATCAATTGTAATATTCCGCGAAGAATCATGAAGGACAAACGGAATTTTCTTTTTAGTATTTAATGGAATTGCATCAAACAATTCAATTATAGAAAAAATCAGTAACTATTAAAAATAATTTTATTAAGGATTGAAAGACAAAACTTTATCAAAAAAAAAATATGTAAAGTATTTACTCACAATAATATAAAGCCGTTTTATTCAAATTAAATAAAAGAATCATTATTTCAAAAAATAAAATATATTTATGTTAATATAGCTAACAATGAAAAGTTGTATACAGGAAGTTAAGAAAACTGATCACATTCAAGTCAAATGAATATCTTTACTATTTATCTACCTAAATAAAAATATAAGTGATCCATAGTGTGCACGAACCGACATATATTCGGGTTACAAGGTATTCACAGTTTATCGCATGTGGTCACAAATTAGAATTTCAGCATCAGCATTTATTTTTCTTTTTTTTCGTCATGATTTGATGGAGCTTGACGAGTTACATAAGGCAGAATTCTATATCTATTGTCCTTTTATTTAATATATGTACCATACCAAGTTCTATCCAATCATGATGAAAAAAGAAAAAAAATGCTTCTGTAATTTTGACGTGTAGATATATGTCAAAGACGGTAAATATTTTGAAATTTGAATATTTCAGTCTGTATATGATATGAACAACTCATGTTTCTATTTAACTAGTTTTATCTTGAGAACATCGATTTGACTCGAATATGATCAATCTTCTTGACTTTCAATACATGACCTTTCATTATAAGATATATTCATAGGTAATTTACATGAGAATCTATTGATTGTTTGTTTTTTATAAACTGATTTGTTTAAAAAAGCTCTATTAATTTGAATAATTTCTTTAAAACTACTTTTCTTCTTTGAAAACTTATCACAATTTGATAAATCATTCCTAAATGAATAGGAAAGACTTTAAGATCATTCGTATTTATTTTATTTTCGCCATTCCTCTTATATAAGTTTATTTGCTTGTTTTCTTTTCTTTTTTTATAACAGAGAAGAAAAAATAAAGATTGACAAATGTATATTGTGTGAACACGCACAATGAAAGAAAAAAAAGAAAATAGAGAAAAAGTCGTCGGTGTGAACATATGGTTAAAGACAACAACACAAGAGCAGACAAACATACAAAGACATCTTATAAAACAAAGAAAAATAATCTATTTCTATATCATCGATATAATTTTGCAAATATTTCAAATTCATAATCAATTTTTGATGATTGAGTATCGCATCTAAAATAAAAGAAACAAAAAAAAAAAAGAAAAAAGAAATATATATAAATTTTGTTTTTAAAGACTTACTCGCATAGAGCTTTATAAAACTGTTCATATTGTTTTAAAGTAACAATTTCAACTAAACCATTTTTACTTGTCCGTGGTATTTCTGTTAATGATTTTTGTAACCATTGTAAAAATTTATCGGACATATAAGTTTTAATTTCACAAACAAATTCTGATATTGATAAACGAATTGATGATGGAACACGAGAAATAACAATAGCACGAATTAATGCTGTTAATATATTAGGAATATATGTTTCACATAATGACATTGACAATGAACGAATTTCAGATAATTCAGATTTATTCTAAAAAGAATTTAAAAAAACAATTTGAATATATTTCTTTTTCCTTCTTATAATTTACTTTAATTTCTTTATTTTTATTTGACGTAAGTTTAACTAATGTTTGTAAAAATGCCATCATACTTGAATTTGCATCTCGATGTTCTAAGTGACAATTGGGAATTATTTGTTCAATTATTGGTTGAATTACACTGCATTTCAAATATTCAAGTGGACATCGTTGAAGTAATCTTTTAATAAAATAGAAAACAATAATATATATATATATATATATATATTAATTATTTAATCAATCTCATTTATTCTTAACTTCAATTGAATAAAAACAAAAATAAACAAATCACGAAAAACTTTTTAGCACTGCAAAATCGTGTTTAAATCGAAAGTTTAATCCAATTATAAATTTTGAATAAGTAATTTATCTATCATAACTTGATTTTTTCAGACTTCGTTATCAGAACTCTAAGTGTTTTATCTGGGTTGACTTTCTCACAAGTATAAGATAAAAATTCAAAGAAGTATCACTACGCTGAATGCATTATCATCTATTAACTATGTTGAATTATTTGATAAACTGAATTTTACCATTATTTTTCAATATATTGATTAAACAGGTTTAAATTTGATTAAATATTTTCATATTAATTGATAGTCTTTTCAAAAATATCAATTGTTTGATCATCATATATTCTCTTGTTATGGAACGGGAACATTGATTCAACTATTAGTTTCCGTTTATATATTTATATTCTAACTGGTTATATATGTGTTTCATTGATATTAACAAAACGGATAACACATAGAGTTCACCATATTAATATTCATAGTGGCTTTTCGGCATTTGATCATGATCATGTCATACGCAGAATCTTTGACATTAGAAAAACTGATTTTTTGGCAATTTGTAAAAGTTCAGTTTTTCTAGGAGCAGAAAGTCCACTGCGAAACTCAGTCAGTACTGCGAATTTTCTGTTTTGCAACAACATATACCAATGTATTTCACTATAAAACATATTTCAAATAATATTTCTGAAAACTTCATTAGAATAAAAAAAATACTAAAGGAAGTGAAAAAATGATCATTTGTCTATTAACGAGCATAATATGATCTAATAATGAGATCAATTTCAATCAAGATATTAGAAATTATGGTATAATTGAGTATTATCAAATATAGTTAGTTATATATATATATATATATTTCTGCTAATGAGGGAACCTTCTCAATTTAAAATTTACTTTTCAGTTCGAACTCTGTGTATAAGATAGGTTCCAATGAGTTATTAAAAACCCCAAAAGCATATGAATTCCGAGAGTTTCTCTACAGTATTATAGCTGTTTTAGTGAAATTTTGAGCTTATAGCATCATATGTAAAAAAAAAAAAAAATAATCAAATAACAATATATTGTAATTAGAATATTCCACTCACGAGAGATTGTATCCCCACGAAGCATGAAATTCTCGAATCGTTCGTAGAATACGAGTCATTTTTGGAAATTCAATATTTAATGCTAAAATATCGTCATTCGATTCTTTTCTACATACCGTGCTCAAGACAAAGATTTGAATAAAACAGATAATAACTCTGAAAGTAAAGCTTAGGGAATTGATATCCTTTTGAAATTTTTAATAATATATTATGATATATCTTATCCACAGAATCCGAGATGAAAAACAAATTTCAAATTCGAAAGATTCTCTCGTAAGATGTTTCGATAAATGAAACTATTGAACGAAAATTATCAAATTATGTCAAACGATTGAGAAAATTTTCGATTTCGACATACGTCTACAAGTTTTTTGAAATAAATTTTTACCTTGATGATAAACGATAAAAATCATCAACAAGATCTGGATTTTGTTTAAAACCATCTGGTTTATTAAGAATTGAAAAAGTTTTCGTTGTTAAATGTTCACTCATGACAATAATTGATGATTTTAAATCTTGATCATGTCCATATTCATCAATTATAATTGATATTAAATAAAGAAAACATGAATGAGGAACATCATCATAACTTGAAATAACCTAATTTAAAACGAAAAAAAAACAAACACAATTTAAATTAAATAAATTTTTTTCAAAAACAAAAAATATGTTTCAAACAAACCAGTTCGACAATTGGTTGAAAAAATATTTTAGCATGAGAACGCATTGATCGTATTATAAAACGAATTGTACGTGACCAACATTCACTGAGTTTTGCCGATGAACGATATCGAACAATAATTAAATTGAGTAAAGGCATTAACTTAAATTATATTTTTCTTTTGTTTTTATATGTCACATATTTATTTATTTATTTATCTTTACCTGTTGAACAATAGTTATGCATGGATGTGTTTCTTCATGTGTTGCTTTGAAATCAAGACTTCTATATAATTGAGAAAAAATTATTTGTCTTAAAAATTATAAAATCTTTTTTTTTTTAAATATCACCTGAATATTGCTGTCAAACAATCAAGTCGTTTTATTATTGAAGTATAATTTGTATCCGATTGAGTAGAAAGAATCTAATATAAAAATAAATAAGGACGATTAATTAAATTAAATAAATATATAAAAAAACCTGAGTTAATGATTGAATTTGTTGATCGAAAAGTAATTTTAAATAACGATGAATATCATTCATTGATGTCAAACGAGAAATTAATTTTGATGAAGCTAAAAACAAATAATCAATATAAATACTTTTCTATCATTGATTTTATTTCTCTACAGAAAAATAATTCAGAAATCTTGTCAGGATATTTTTCTCCGTTTTAGATTTGATAAAAACTGTTCATAAAAGCCTAATCAGTAGAAGAGAGAGAGTACACATTTAAGACACAACTTTCTGCTACTTTTTGAATACTAGGTTAACGATGGTCGGAAATCGGTCTTGGCTAACTTTACTATAGTACATCCAAATGAGCTAAAAATTTAGGTTTGGCGGTTTTAGATTATGGGCTTTCAAATGTGCATAAAACACAAAAATCTAAATTTTGACCAGTGTCTCGATTCCTCGGTTCTCTCATGAATGTTCTCGTAAGTCAGAATGTCAACAATTTTTATAAAAGTGGTACATAGAAAACATAATAGTGGGTGATCGGAAAATTTTTAAGAGAAAATGTCTGTTCACTTTTGATCCGCTAGAGAATATTTCTGGCGAGCTAAAAAGTATGATTTGGTGCTCTTTTCGAATATGACCTTGAAAATTTTCTCTCAGTATTTATTTGACAGTAGTAAAATAGTCTTTCAAAAGTACAAAAAAATAGTTTGAAAGGATAAGTTTTGTATTTTCACGGTTGCAATTCGAAACTAAAAGTTCTGATCTTTATTTACATATCAGTTTGTAGATCAGAAGTTACCCTACGATATGTACTTCGTTTATTGACGAGACATCTCGATTTTCGGTTTTTTTTTTAAATGCTCATTTATGAAAAAATCCATAACTGTTTTAACATCGAAAGGAGCTCTTGAAAAAAAATGCTTTTCACCTTACTTAGATGAAAGCAACAGCTTAGTGGAATATCACATATTGTAGAGAAGTCTCGTCTTTACAAAACGAATGATTCCAAACATTTTTCGCATGTTCGAAAAAGGACTTATAGAGTAAACAAAAACCTATTGGCTCACTATTCAAAATAATTTCTAAGATCTTTCAAAAAGTTGCTCACTTCTCTTGAACAAAACTAGACACAATATTTCTGCAACTATATTCTAAAAGAACATAAAATGCTCGTCCGAACTCATAGCTTTACACTTATCGGAAGTATTTTCTAGCGAATCAAATGTGTACAAACATTGTGTTCTAATCATCAGTTATTTCTGAAAGTGAAATATAAAGAATTAATTCACTTTTGTTCATTGAACTAAAACCATTAAAAATAAAGATCCAAAAACTCTCTTATCTAGTTAAAGTTAGTTTGAAATGAATTTTTTCTGAATAAAAATTAATTTAATTTTTAAATTATGCTATAATTTATCTTGTTTTTTTTTTTTTTCTAATACGAATATTTTCTCTCATCGATTGATAAATGAAAAGAATTTATTCTTGAGGACAATCTTTTTACTTATGTCATTTCCGAATGAATTTATTCTGTTATAAAATGAGATAATAACCTTTAAGAAGACATTGAGCTGCATTACTGCCATTGTCGATAAGATCTAACCAAAGAGTAGCTTGTATAATTTGTTCAAGATCATTAAGAAGCTGTTTTCGACATGACTGAGAAATAGTTAATATTGCATCGGCTGATGTATGACATAATTCTTTATCAACAAGTAACGAAAGAAGATATTGAATAACAGACTCTAAATAAAACAAAGAAATTCATTTAACACAAAAAAAAAAAGCATATTCGTTTTTAAAATAAAACTATACTTAAAATTTGTTGATTATTCATTGCAATCCAATTTTCAAGTTGTGAAATTAGTTTAACACCTGTATATTTAAGTGCTGAATGAACAAGACCTGATTGTATTGGTGTTGAAACAATAGCTTGTATAACATTAGGAATTATTTTATCTTCATCAGGTGGTAAATACGAAGCAACACAACTCATTATATACAATGGGGCTTCACTTTCTTCCCATGATAAAGATGATGATGATTGTAATTTATCAAACATCTTAAGTTTGTTTTTAATAAATAAAAACAATTTTTTTTTTTGAATAAAAGAAAAACAAAAAAAACTTACACGTTGAAAACAATTTAAAGCACCTGTTATATGAATTGTATCTTCAATAAGACATTGAACACGATAACGAAATTCAGCTAAATCACTATTTGATGTTCCATTACTTTTTGAACTTTTTTCATCTGTTTCTGGTGGAATACCCAACTATAAGAAAACGAAAAAGAATAAATCCCAAGAGATTTTTATTACATTTTAATTTCAATTTTTTTCTTGTTATGTTACATGATCAGGATCAAGTTTACATTGTGTACATAATGTATCAACTAATTTTTCCATATATGGTTTAACTTTCTCAATTAAAAGTTCATTAGTTGTTTCAATTAATTCTGAAAGACGATACCATGTATAAAATGTTGATTGAACAACCTAATTTTAAATAAATAAATATTTATAGAAAAGAAATTAATGAAAATTTCTATTTAATTACTTCATAATCACTATGTTCTAATGGATAAAGTAATAAATGAAGGCATGATATATCACTTAAATCTGATTGACGACCATCAACAAGACACTCAAGAATTGATTCAATTAAATTTGTATAAATTCTTGTATAATTTTGTGCTCTTTAATTAATAATATAATAAATAAATCAATATATATATATAATTTATTGAACTTACTTATCAAGATTTTCATCTTTTACTGCTTGAAAATAAGGTTGAATGAAATATTGAGTGATTTGTTGTTTTAAATAAACTGCTAATGGCCAATATTTTTGATAATCCTATTAAATAGATTTGAATTTGTTTAGACTTCTTTTTTTGTTTTCATTAAATAACTTAGCATATAAAATCAAACAATCTTATTTCATATTCTAATTGTTGATATATAACTCAAAAAAAAAAATACCAAATTAAATAATGCGTGATCAGATAGTAATTTAACAATATTGAGTTATCATCAAAACTTTGTGTCGTTTCCAAATATAAGTTGAAAATTTCTTTAGAACGTCTGCTTTAGGGATTTTTTGAGGCAACGGATTAGAAGCGCAAAAACTAGGTTTGCATGAAGAATATTGAGGTTTTTTATAACAATAGTCTCATCTATTGCATAAAATTAAAGATAAAATCATTCCCTACAAAGTGATAGAAGAATCAATCGTTTGAGGACAATCATTCAAGAACGATCGAGCTCATTTTATAAGTCTGCTCTCCATAGAAATCGAGAAAAATGTCTAAATTGACATGATGTTTTTTACTGGAAACTTGCATTGTTGACAAATGACTCGCAGTAAACTAATCATCAGTATATCATTTTATAGATAAATGTTTGTTCTTTCATTCGCTGTATTTGAAATAATTTTTGGGGCACTGAAATTCGCCCAAACTAAATTTACGGACTTCCAAAAGGCCGGTTCATAACTCCTAAAACAGAAGTTCCACAAAAACTTTAAGCAAATATTCGAAAAGAAAAAAAAAATGTTGAGTCCAGTTCAATACTCTATCCAAAAACTGCAGTTTATTTTAAGAGGTTAAAAAATAAACAAACATTTAATCAAATTACTTTTCCATCATCTGTTATATATTTGATTTAGACTTATTACCTTCCAACTTCTATTTATTGATCAAGTTTAAAAGTAGAAATTTAAATTAGTCAACAATCGATAAGCTGAAAACTTTTATATTTTCATTCTTTCAGATATTGATAAGACAATAATATTAGAGAATTTAATCATTTAATCATGAATTTTATTGATATAGAAATTTTTGAAGTGATTTATTAGAAAAACATCACAAACCAATGTTTTCTTTTATTCTTTTACTGATTTAATGTCCTTTAACTATAAAACAAGTATATTATTGAAAATGGGCTTTTATAATTAGAACAAACTTGTTTTTATTGTCATCGGTAAAACAAATGTCAAAAAATATATTAAAGTAATGCTATTGACTTAATTTCGTATTCTTAACCTTCTGTAAAAAGTGGAAAAATCATTGAAAAATTTGCTATATATCAAATAATAAAATATATATCTGAAATAAGACTTTTATAACACCCAACAATCGTAAACAAGAAACATGGAAATGATTTTCTCATAATCGGAAGAATAAATAACCGAGCCGATGGCTTTAAACAATGGAAATCAACAAATTTTTCCGGTGACTTCCCTCTTTCTTCCGCCGGAAAGAACAAAAAGTTAGACAAAATTCACCGTAACAAAATCGAAGGATATTCCAATACAAAATACTACACCAAAGTTTCACCGATTTCCGGAGCTTTTCTGCTCAAGTCGGCTCGTATGCCTTGGTCTAGCACATATAATTTGATAAATATCTGAAAAATTTCCATTCTAGTCAACAATCTATCTTCGAAGTTTTATTTTTTCTTTGCTAAGTTTCTCACAAAATCTCAACTATAAAAGCTTTCTACTTGGAAAATATTTAATTTTAATTTTTTTTTAAATACCTCACATAATTCAAGTATGTCACATAAACAATCGCATGCACTTTTATGAAGTTCATTTGAACAATGTGTTGATTTCTATAAAATAAAAATAAATGAAAATTTCAAATAAAAAAAAAAAAAACAAAACAAATAAAACTCACAAGAATATCTAAAACACTATTTAATAATGATGATGTAAGTATAAGATTTTCATCAAATGCTCGAATATTAACCCATGATGCAAAACATTTGAGAATACCAATAAATAATAATTCATTATGTGTAGAATTAACTTGTAGAAGAAATATCTTTAATTATCAAATAAATTATATTTAAGACTTCAGAAAAAAAAACAATTTTGTTTATACGAACTAAAATTTCATGAATTTGGTTTCCACAATTTGAATATTTTTCTCGACAATATTGACGACGATTTTCTCCGATTCTTATTGTTGATGTATTGACCTAAATTTTAAAATAAAATTTAATAAAAAAACCAATAAAAAAAATTCAAATACTTCTTCAGGTAATGCAGTTAGAAATTCAAGTAATGTTAACATATGTTCACTTGATGTTTTTAATCTAAATATACAATTTAATTAAATTTTATTATTAAAAAAAAAGAATTCATATACTTTTCAACAACATCTTCAACTGGTTTTTCCCAACCAACATATTGAAGAGCTAAATCAGCAGTTGCAACAGCTAACTAGAAATAATAATCAATATATATATATATATATAATAGAAATATTTTATTGAAATGTTCTTACTTGAACACGCACTGTTGTATTACGAGTGAGTTCTATTCGAGATAAATGATCAAGTAAAGAATCACATAAAGCCTTGAATATTAAATTATTATTTTAAATTAAATTTAAAAATAAAATCTACTTAACATACTTTACAATGTTCTACCGGTAGTTCATCAAAATTATGTTGAATCTAATAAACAATATTTTCTTTTGAATTTTTATAAAAAAAGAAAAAGAATTTTTAATATTACTTTATGTCGAAGAATTTGAGCCGAAAGACAAGTTACTTCTGAATTTTGATTCATTCGTATTAATTGATCAGCAAGTGACCAAGCATAAAGCTTATTTTAATAAATAATAAATAAATTATTTAAAATAAATTCAATAATAATTACCGATGATTGAACATTAAGTAACCATTCTGAAGCTATTTTTTTTCTTGTGGCATCTTGATCATGATAAAGCATTTGAACAGCACGAACAAAGTTCTCTGGTGTTACTTCCGAAGATGATGTCATCTTCACTATGATCGACTTATTTTTATGTTTTCAAAAAAAACAAAAGATCTAAACAATATCAAGTAAATAAAATATAAAAAGGAAGAAATTTTTTTATTTGGTGTTTTTTATTCAATGCAAAATGAATAATTATTTGTCGAAAAGTTTTATTGGGCATTTATAAACACGTATCAGAAAAGACAATAAATTCTAACAAAAAAAGATGACGCTATAAACTTATCATTACTCATAATCATTAAATCTATATAAGGATTGACAAAATTGCGACGCCATTTAACATAATCTACTGTCACATATTAAAATTGACTTTTTTTGAATACAAATCAACGTCTTAAAGATAAAAAATATCAATTTATTGACAAAATTTATAGATAATTACAAGGGGGATAAGTGCAGCATTTGAGGACCAAATTTTCTACTAAGTGCTGAAAAAGTCTTGAAGAGTTGGTACATATTTGGAATTACACTGAAAATTAAGGTAATAGCTATAAGTGAAATTAATTTGAATTTTTTAAATAAAGACAAGACTTTTCTCGTAAAATAATGATTTTCTATAAAACTTGACTAAACATTTCCAAGAATAAGAAATTCGAATCTCTAATGGGCTTCTGGAAATTCTTGAGTTCGACTTTTCCGATCAGTAAAAGCCTATTTCAAACAAATAGCTTAATGTTATGAAATATGAGTCAACCGCAAGAAATAGATTTCCAATGACCGAAAAAAGTCGAACTCAAGAATTTAAAAAATTGATTAGAAATTCAGATTTTTCAAGTTAAATTTTATAAAAAAAAAATTTTATTTTAGAAAAAGAATTGATCTTATCTTCATTGAAAAAATCGAAAGAAAATGTTATAATTCATTCATAACTATCACCTTTATTTCCAGTAGAATTTCAAATATGTATCACTACCACAGCATGTTCAGTACGAAAGGATTGTTTGTATAATTCAATGTGGAAGATTTGTCTTTTTTAAAAGTTTCTTCAGAAATTTTCGCTACAAAATTTAAACTTAACCAAAGTAAAACTATCACCATTAGATATTCTAATAGCTTATTCGAAAGGTTTTTTGTTTAGTTGATTACTAGAGAACTGTATCATTAATGCTCAGTATTTATATAAGCATTAACTTACTGTAACGATAAAATATGTAACGAACTGAAGAACTAGTTTTAGTGTATCTCAGATACGCAATGTGAATTGATTCAAGTTCCAGTTTTCATTTTAATTGTCCATAAATAAGAGCTCAGTAACATGTGAAAATGGATGCAATAGTTCTCGTATTCATAAACATATACTTCTAGAACTTCAAGTTTTCGTATTAGACAATTTATTTGTTTCAAAGAATTTTCAATTATATTTTATCACATTTAGTTATTGTCTTTTTTATGCGTTAATCTTTATATACGAATTATGTTTATGAAATAAAATTTTTCATAATAATAAACAACAAATGCATGGTGTCGCTTTGAGTTTGATGGGTCTAGATATATTAACTTGTATACAGCAAAAGAACGGTGTATGCAAGACAATATGTAGTAAAAATACGATTCTAATGCTATGTCTTTTTTTTGAACGGAAAATCGCCCTAAACGACACCTTTTGCGTTTCAATAGAAAGCTTTCCGTAATTTGCGATTACAGTCCAGAAAAAAGCCATAATCGACCTTTCTTTTTTACTATTTACAGCAGGCATTGATCTGTTTTATAGCCGTTTCTAATGTTCGTTGTGGATTAAGTTAAGGCTAATAAGAATAATATGCACTTCTCATATAGTTCTTTGGTAAACAAATAAAAAAAGTAATAAATAACATTTTCGCTTATCTAACAGTGAAAGTTTTACTCTTGTTTGATATAAATTTAAGGGAAAAATTTCTTAAGAAATTTAAAAATAACAAACTTTTCATATTTGACTATGTTAATGACATAATTATCATTATCTGCACTAAACTTGAAAACTTGATTTTGTCTCATGTTTATCAAAAAAATCAATAGATTTCTTTTTCTTAGTTTAGTACAAGATGTCATAAGTTCATTCGTTGATATCAATTGATGTAATACACTTTTTTAATTTTAATAAAACTTGCTTTATTGGTTCATATATTATGTGAAAAACGATGGATGTTGGTTCGAGCCGTAATATAATCATTTCTACAGAATAAAAAATTTAAAGTGAAAAAAAATACAGACAAATATACATTGATATGAGATTATAATACAAAAAACTAAGTGTGAAATGAAAATCCTTTTTTTTTTCCTGGGATATCTTTCAGACATGAATAGAATTTTAAAAACCTTTTTTTTCAAAAGATTGAATTCATCCATTGAATATAAAAAAAAATATAATTTGTTTACGCTTGAGAAAAGAAGTATATTAACTAAGAATAGTACTCAATACTTTCGTTATAAACAGAATTCAATTATTTTTATTTCCAGTTTTTACTTCATAAATAGATAATCGAAATAAATTTTTAATAGTATCACATTATTTTTCTCTCATTTTGTCGTACAATATTTTCAACATCAATTATTTTGTTTTTCTTTACAACAAATCGTTACTAACTTTTGTATAAAGATTCTTTCCTGCTTGTTTGGAAATTGTATTTCAGTAAATTATGAAGATAAAAACCAGTAACAATAAAAAAAAGCCAACAAAAATGAATGATTCATACTTTCTGATTGATTAAAAACTCTTTACATTTATTTATTTTGATCTTGTGGATTTTTTTACTTTCATTCCTTTACAATATGCCGCAAAAAATAATGAATAGTAGTAAGAGAGACAGAGAGAGACATTACTAAGCAGACAATTTAGTAAGAGTGCTGTGTGATCTTCTTTTGGACAATCTTGATCTTTTGTATTGTTAATAGTGTAGAAACGAGCTTAAAACATGTTTCTACATTTACTGCATACGAATAAATATTCAGTTTAAGTCTTTGAATTCAATCATTACTCATATTTACAAACATCAAGACGGGATGTTACGAAAACTTCTACTTTATCGTAGAATTTTGCTGTGTGGAACAAGACTCATTGTTCATTTTACATTTTCTAAATGCAACCGTTTTGATCAGATATGATTAATATTGATGAACTTCATTTTATAGATCAATAAAGTTTTGAGACAAGTGTATTATCTTTTACAGCTGCACTATCTATTCGTCATGAACATGACCGTAGTAGAAACAATCGTGGAATGCTGAATTAGTTCAAAAACAAGAAAAATTATCTCGTTTCTTCGATCTGAAATTAACAAGAAAAGATCTTAGTTCAATTGCTAGAGAGAAAACTGAAGCATAGAGTCCTAAAATTTATGCTTATATTGTGTGTGACATAGAGAAACACTAAAACAATTATATTTATTAATATATACAATAAAGATGTACAGAAAATCAATTCATAGATAGCATGTGCTTCACAATTCTTATTCGCCCTTTCCCATCGTTACTTTTGCCATGAACTGTAGAATAGTGCCAACACTTGATATTATTATAAGATCTGTTATACCAACATTAAAATATTGTCTTAGACAATGTTTATATAAACAGAATATTCGAAATAATATGCTAGAATAATTCAAAGACTGTGCATCTACTAATCATTGTTTGAAATAATCATATGATAATCAAGTCATACAATAAATATACTTGACTCAATACCAGTACTCATCTTTTTTTGGAACTACAAATATAACTTAAATACATGCAGCTGTAAGATTTATTTTCTATTAACCGTTTGAATTCAATCATGAGATTTTGTGTCGAGATCAGACCTGATTGTTAAGTGTATTTGAAATGGATTTTGTATGATGTTCATCAACTATTCTTTCAAAAACATATATCATTATTATCAGATGACTCATTTTTTGTATTGGTCAATGATCTTATTTATTTTATCCACAAATCTACGTCACAGCATGAAAACAGATACGAAAGAATTAAAATCTTCTTCTGTAATTAACTTACTTTAATATTAATGAACATTTGCCGGAGATCGTCTTCTAGTTAATTTGAAATTACAAAAAAAGAAGAATATCACGTTTCTCATGTTTTCAACTAGTTAAATATCTCGGGATCGTTTTTCCCTGAGATAAATTCCATCATTTTCATAACTAGAAACGCTCTATTTTCTATTTCGCAATAATAAATTTGGTGATCAATTATCTACTTTTTTTTGTTGATCAATAGACATTTTTCGTTCGAAAAATTATCATTTCGTATGATCGCATATTATATTATTTTTCTTTATCAATATATACTCAACTTTTAATTACACATATGGTGAACGAAATTCAGGAAAAAGAAAAAAACGTCTTTTACAATCTACTAAAACAACAACAATGAAACAAAGATGAATATTATTGGAAATTATGGCAAAATTACATTGCTGAATTCGATGATAAGAAAGCGAAAAATTGAGTATAATTACAGAAAGAATTGTAAATGTATCGAAAATAGACAATTGAAATATTATAACTTAAAATACAGATAGTTTATGAGCAAGAGGATATAATTAAATCTGTTGAACTCCAAAGTTTCTCCAATGATAAAACATTGTCAACAATTCTGCAGTCACATAATGATAAAAGTATCATAGGTGTATGTATCGGTATAAAAACAAGCACATAATCAAAACTGCTCATTCGGATTTGTACATGATGTTTTCGTGTAACGCAGTAATAGTCTTAAACGATCTAGACAACATTATACAAAAACAACATATTACGGTATAAAACAAAAAAAGAAAGTGAACACCATCTAAATCATGAAGAAGTAATCACTCAAATAGAAAAGAAAGTTTTCAGAAAATTTTAGGCTATAAATTCAAGAGCTGAGTTTGATATAATGAAGAGTTGTAATCTACTTCAGCAGAGGCAATCTAGAAGCATACTGTAAACAAACAGTTGAGGTACAAGTGATTGAATTGTTGGAAAAGGTCTTTTGTAAAATTAGAAAAGATACGAATGGATTTTTCAGGCATAGTCTGCTTTAGATTTCAATGT